AGGGGCAAAGGCGTCGCGAGCTAGAGAATTAGCCAGTTCGAGGTGAGTAATGGTTGTAAATGATGTCCTGAGGGTTTGAAACCCCGGATTGCACATCGTAGTGCTATATTGAGGCAAGATACACGCTGGATGATGAGCGTGGGGTCTTTCACTACTGGGGATTGTGACTTGGTCCATCTCGATTGATGATTTTACCGAATATTTGACTGAAATTCATTCGTTACCATCATGATTTGGGCTAATTGCCATATTTGGGCTTCGTGCCAACTATTTGAACCCTTCGGGGATTTTTATCACTGTTTCCTCATTACTTGACTTATTATTTGAACTCATTCCTGTTGATATCTACTGTTTTACAAACTCAGCCACTTTTATTCAGATTTGAAAGTTAAATGATATTTTTACATCATGTTTTTTGCTGAGAACTACTGTTTTACTAATGCCCAAGGGGCTTATGATGATTTCTGGACTGAGTGAGGCCGAGGGCCATATGTGAGGATATGCTGAGTGATATGAGGCCGAGGGCCTGAGATACTATTTATGCCATGCGGTGACTTGAGTGATGTGAGGATATGCTGAGTGATGATGCCACGAGGTGGCTTGATATAGAGCTTGGGCCGTAAGGGGCCCCTCCGGAGTCTGCACACCCACAGTGAGCGCGGTTACCTATGTGATTCGAAAATAGTGGTAACAATGACACTGTATGATGCAATTTGGTCAGGTAACAATGACTGACCATTATGTTGAGTGATTGTGAGGTAGCTCGAGGGGCCGATACTGTACTAAGAGTGAGCCTGATGGGCTGATACTATGTTGAGCGATTGATACTGTGCCCGAGGGGCGGATTTCTTCTTGTCAATTACCTGTTAAATTACATGTTTTACTTGTTTTAAAAAGGAATATCATTTGATTTCTTCACTGATTTACTGCTTTAAGTGATTTTACTGCTTGATATGGAATTGCTTTGTGCCTTTACGTGTTTTCATACTTTCAGCCATTATTTGTAATTATTACTCACTGAGTCGGAGTACTCACATTACTCCCTGCACCATGTGTGCTGATTCAGGTATATCAGAGTCCGCACTTGAGCGCTGATTCCTTCCAGGCTAGGCAGGGATTTGTAGTTACGAGGTAGCTGTTGACGTCCGCAGCCCCTTGTCTCTCTTATCCTCTATCATTTATGTTTTCTTCAGACTGTTGTATCAGATTCCGTACTTTGTAGAGCTAGAGCAGATTCTGTAGTAGCTCATGACTTGTGACACCCCGATTTGGGCTGTGTCGGGATGGTTCCTACTGTTATTATCGTTAAATTCCGCAATTTATGAGCATTATATTATATGTTATTACCGTTATGATGATAAACTGTTTAAAAGAGGTGTTCCATTTTGGTCTGGCTGGCCTTGTCTTCACGAGAGGCGCCATTACGATCCGGTTCGGGGATTGGGTCGTGACACTTAAGTACTAGGTTATTATGTAATGATGAAGGCGCTTATGCAAACAACCACATTGCTGGTGAAGTTGTTACTACCCAGTAAAAAGCTTCATTCATTTCGAGATTTGATATATGCTTGTGCAAAAAGACCATTGATATTAGAAGATTGGGCCCTAAAATCTTGAAAAGGCTATAATGGGTCATCTTTAGTATTTTTTGTTTCTCAATCATTGATCTTGAAGTGACAAAACTCAGTGCTGATCTGAAGCTTTGTGTATTTCCCTTTGACTCTCCAATTTTGTTCCAGATCGCCGCCCTTTCAATGTGAAAGTAAAAGTTCTGCTACCAATATCTGATTTCATTTTTCATCACTTCCATTTTTCCATGGTCATGCCGCTATTTAAAATCCTTTGTGTTTCGAAGCAATTTGAAAATGAGATGACCGCCTTTCATCTATGGGTTCTGATTTCTTAATCTAAGATATCCTATGCCTCTGTCTTAAAGCCATGCTATTCATCATGGTTGATGTTTATGAACCCGATAATTGCCTTACCTGTGCTTCTTGATGAAATTGTTAGGTGGTCAACTTGGTGCTGTTCGTTATTCAGTCATTTTTGCAGTTGCTGGAACGACAGTTGATTATGCTACCATCAAAATAAAACCAGCCTTGAGAAGTTTCTATGACTCTATTGTCAATAGGAAAGATGATTGGTTAAAATTGTCTGAGTGGTCGCCAATCAAAGTGCTTGATGAGGAAGCTCTTGCAGCAAAACGTGCCCGGGAAGAGCAACTATACAGAAGTGTCCACAATCTGAACAAGGAGGAGTCCTGATATTTAAGTACCTTTTTGCAAGAGGCGCTGCCAGAAGTTGAGAAGGAAAGGGTCTACTTCCATTTCCATGCCCTTCAGGTTAAAGACGAGCAGAAAATTCAAGCATTAGTATTCAACATTTCGTGTGCCTCCTGAATCTCATCGTGGCAAAGGGGTGAAACTTCTAATTCGTGTGTCCTGCATATTTACTGATGCTATGGATATGGCAATAATTCTTCGCTTATACCACAATTTGTTAGTAATACAATCGACATTTCATTTTCTTTTGAGTTATCAAACTCGACTAAACTTAGTAAATGAACGTTTTGAGTACAATGCTCAAGTTTTTGAGCAAGGGACCATTTTATTGTGATAGTTAAAAAATCATAATCGCTGTTGGATTATGCTGATGATCATGCATTAAGCTTCTGCGCTTCTTTCATGTGTCGCAAACCACATTACCATCAAAATTTATTTCATTTATTTCGTACTAATGATACTGGATAATTGATGTGTTTTGAATTGAGCTTTTAGAGAGAGGGGTTAGAGGGCAAGAATAATTGAGGAAACTTGAAACTCATTTCATTGTGTAATGCAATGATCATCTTTCATGTCAAAAGATACAAGTGTCACACCCTTTTTTTTTACTTCACTGACCCCTTTAAAATAATAAAAAGTGATTTTTTGAAGCTCAAACGGATTTTCAAATTCAAAGTGATAAAAAAATTGTGTTTCGAAGGATTTTTCAGAGTCGCCACCTGGCATTTGGATTCGATGTGCTAGGTCACCGTTTTAAAAATAGTTTTCCTTCAAAACATGTTTGACTCTAAAACTGACTGCACCGGAGATTCTAGATAAAGGGGTTCATTTGACTCGGGGAGAAGGTGTTAGACATTCCGCGAGTCCCGCACAAAGTCTACGGGGCATTCCCTAGATAAAATAATGAACTAAAGGGAACAACCTCTTGTCTCAAAGCTCAAACAAAATCCAAAGGCTTGCCTACCCAAGTGATAACGGCCTAAACATAATCCTAGCGATTAAAAATAATAAGAATAAAATAAAATGATATTAAGTTTGATTCACAGTTTATGACCAAGAGCCATTTTTTATTTTCATAGATTATTTCCCCGACCCAACCCTTCAAAATGTCGCCATTTTCATTCAAAATTCTTTCTATGTCTTCATTCTAAAAATGTATAGAACAGATCTTATAAAACATAATTCAGTGAAGCTAACCAAGATCAAAATCATAACAGATTAATTCAATCATTCAAAGAACAAATTAAGCAAAGTAATAGTGAAGCAACTTGTTGCTCCCAAATGCACACGCAAGTATATATGATCGATAAGTAATATAGGATTGTAAGTCCAGATATCGTACCCACAGAGACTTGTAATTAACTATCAACTAAATTAAACCAAACAATTAATCTATTCAAGCGAATCCTAACGTATGGATATTTAACTAAAATTACTCTAGAGTAATAAATTAAGAGATTAAAGAAAACAAGTTGGCGAATCATAGAGACGAATTCAATGTGAGTGAATATTCTAGAGCTATGGGTTAGCTAACAATCTCGTTGAGTTTTTCACTTAAATCGTCTAATTAATTATCTGGTTTATTGGTTGACAAGGTTAATATTGTTCGTAACCTTCTCCTGAAGTACAACTCGCCTATTTAAGCTAACCTAACGCATATATTCCTATGGAATTAGGATTAACGAGAACACATTTATAATTCCCGTATAATAACCAAGCAACGCGATTATGTATATTCCTATCCTAACCGCTAATCCGCCCCTACTCAGAGTTAAGATGTTGCTCTACTCAATCTTATATGTAATCTTGAATTCCCTCTCCCGAGTTCAATCCTAGATTCGTAGATGGTATTCAATTGGTGATCAAGCAATCAAATAATTAAGCGCAAGATTGAATAAATAAACAATATGATAAAATAATAAGAACATTTCAAGCTTTAAACCACAACGCTCATGTTGCACCCCACAACTCTAGAACTAAACTATGAAACTAAAAGAAGAGAAGAGAAGAAACACTAGTTAGAAGCCTCCTCCAAGCGTGGTGTGTGTTCCTCCACATGAGTTCTCCTTCAAAGTAAGTTTGATCTCCTCCAAATTAGGTTTATAACTCTTTATATACGAGTTGGGAGGGTCTTGGGCTGAAATAACCTTGTCCTGAATGAAATAGGAAAAATTCCGTCACACACAGCGTCCAGGGTAGCGCCTAGCGTTGGACCTGGCGCTGAAACCAGTAAGTTTTACATTACTTGCTTGGATGCGTCACTTTCATCCATATATTGCATTCTAAATGCAATTTGTTAGAAAATAATAAAAGAAGAAGAAGTGTATTACAGAGAAACGTAGGAGAGAGAATTCTTATTGATTTGGGATCAATTACAATGAAATAGAACCCTATATTTATAGGGGAAAAGTGACTTAGCCACCAAGTAACAAGCCCTAAATCTCTCTAACTATAGACATTCACCATAAATAAAATTCTATTTATAACGCTTCCCCTTGAATGTCTATTCAACAGATAATGTGCCTCGTTAAAACCTTAACTAAATAAAATCCAGTGGGAAAAAAATTCTAGAGAAGGAAAAAGAGTACACATATCTAACAATACGCCTTTTGGTTGCCTCGTTAAAAACACATTGGAAGGAAAACCCAGTGGGACAAAACCTTGTAAGGGAAAAAGAGTATAACGCGTATTAACTCCCCCTAATGAGAGCATCAATTCACATCTTTAAGCTTTTGCATTCCAATCTTGTGCACCATCTTCAAAAGATCGTTGGTAGAGATTTGATAAACAAATCAGCCATATTAACTTCAATGAATATATTGCATCTTGAAATCATCCTTCTCGATAGATATATAATGTCTTCATATAATATTGTGGAATGACTTTTCAATATCTCCATAGAGGTAAAAATTCCCGCTATCACATTGTCATGCTTATAGTTATAGCAAGATACATATGTGCATAAATTACACTTATCATATGGTGCTTCGGGACCAAAAATTGTATATGCTTCAAGCGATTTAAATCCTTCAAGGATTGTCATATAAGTTAAGTCATATAAGTCATATGAATGGACTTTAATTAGATGCATATCAAGTTTTCATGTCATGTTAGACAAATAAGATGTCGAAAACTTATTGCACATATCATTGACTTTATACTTTCAAGTGTTTGAACTACATGTTCAAATCGACATGTCTTTCATATGAAACCAATTCTATTCAAATTGTTTCTCCAGACTTAAGATCCTCATATATTTAGCGTTATCATAGATGTCGTCGACGAACATTTTATATCGGTTCCAATATTCTTTTCATAAAGACATAACATGGAGATCTCTTCATTCATGTTTTCAGGCACCTGAATCTCTCCTGAGATTTTATGTAGTTTTATGTCATGTGATCTTCTAGATCACTTGCCTCCTTTATTATGATCATTTTCTCATCTTCTTTATCAAGAAGTTTATTTGAAACCGATCTGTCTATACGCATTAAGCGTATCATAGACTTTGTCATTCTAGGACTTAATATGAGCATTTGCAATGAGAATATAATTACTTTCTTTGGGTCAGCAAATACGTCTGACATGCTTTGCAATATATTGCAAATGAATTATCCTTTTATGAACTTCAAGTTCATATTATTTCATTCGAGGATTTAGATGTACACATGATAATTCATTCCACGTAACGTTTTCTCAACTGTTTATCATGTCTCCCCCTCATGTTAGAAAAACTAACTTTCTTCTTCAATTTTGGAAACTCACCTTTGTGTGTTATGGTTTTAATCAAAATATGCACCGCACATCAATAATAATAAGATGAAATTATTTGGTTCCTGACCCTGAACCACTTGTGAGGGGAGAATGTAATATACTTTCGTATATAACCTATATCAAACTGATATAGATAACTTTGTTCTCATAAGCAATAATTTAGCTATCAAGTGGATGCACTCAATAAATTATTTTGCTAAACCAACTGTGATGTAAACCAACTTATCAAGATGACCTTTTTGAATAGAAATTCTGAAAATTATGCTCGAAATTAAATTATTGAGAAAGTTACCTCGCAAAACACCATGTTGCAGGTTAATAACACATGTAACCATCTCATAGATGCATCTTATGTGGTATACATGGCAGGTGAATGGGCCCATATTCACCTTTGATATTTCCAGCATTCATGGGATTCAATCCTAATTTTAGTTGGTCAATTAATTAATGAGAACAAGCAATGTAAGAGAATTTGTAAAGAACTTTCTAGTTCTTTAATATTTACCCATGTGAATTCTCTTTTATTTTTTGCACATCATACTTAAATTAACATGGCTAAACCAATTATGCCAACTGAATAAATTATCAGTATTGATAAACTTCACGTTTACATCATGGCGTGTGCAAGTATGAATAAACTCTAAGTTTATTATGATATGAGGTTTTATATTAATAAACTTCTACTTTATTGTGGCATTCTTTTGTTTGTGTAGTAAAAATTGGAGAATAAAACGGGTAGCTTTTCACATACATATTACCCGCTGCAAGTTGTAGTAATAGAAGATATTAAATCTTTCCTTTATTTATAGTCTCAGTATGACCAACCGCTTTCGCGAATACTTTAGAAACTCAATTAAGTTTCTTTGAGACTTACTACAACATAATGCCTTATTGATAATCAATTTTATTCCTCCAAAATAATAATAATTGGCTCTTCCAGAGCTCTCAATTAATTTGGTACTATCACATATTCATCAACATCCATATGGTGAATATCTCTTTTAAAGAGAAAGTTATACCACTATGGTCATGGTCAGAATTTTATACAAGATCTGTTCCTTGCATTATTGTTGCCCTTTAATAATCACATCGCCAAAATATTTTGGCGTACAATAGGTATGTGACCAATGACCATTCATACCATTGTAATGACATTATTTTCTTATATCCCCTAAAACCTCATTCTAGAGGTGAGTGTAGTATATTCACTACCACTAGCACGTTCACTTCCAAGAATGAATATGTATTCATAAATCACATGTTGTCACATTCACATCATGAATGGACCATAATCATCTATATGTGCTTTACAACATCTCATGCCAAATTGATGAAAAATATTACTTTCACAAAGTGAAAAATTATTTTGAGAATCCTTATTGTTCTTATTACCACAATGAGACGATTATAATTTCGTCTATTGCCACATCCACATCCATTTATACATTCATAGTAATAATTTTGTCTTCTTTCAGACTTATCACATATTGCTATCATATTCTCCTAAGGAAATGAGAATGAAGCAAATTCAATGGGACATGTTTTCAATTCTTTGCCCACAATCATACATGAATTTGATCATGGCAAGACATAGAAATTTTTACCACTTTGGGTGGTTATAATT